TAGTCCCTTCATATTAAATTGAAGGCAGTAAGGCAGCTCCTGTAATAAAGTAGTCTGCTATGTTAATGTGTTGATATGTTTTATATTTCTACTTTTTAATTTTCTTGAGCTTCCTGTCTCTTTCTTTTATATATCCTTTAAGTATCATTCTCTCAGCTTTATTAGTGTACCCTAAGGCATCTTTGAAAAATGATGTCCTCAGAAACGTCCATTAGAAATGAGAATTCCAGTCCCTTCACTAGCTGAGCAGATAGGAGCCTACAGGTGTGTTATATCATTACCTTCCAACCAAGTGGAATTACAGCATAGATTTGTCTTTTAATTGTTCTAAATATCATATTATGGATATGATATAGACTAAGCCCAAGTAGTGGTAAAATAATTTCTGGAAGGAGTCCTGACAGTGTAATGGTTACATCACCAGCCAGCTTAGCAGGGTAGACAGCGGGGGTGGCTTGCCTTCTACTGAGGGTCTTCGCACTCAGAGTTGGAGCTTGTGGTGGGAAAGACTAAGGCCAAAAGGTGGAGAATAGCGAGTACGTTCTGAATATTTAAAAAAGGAAGGCGTAGGTAGCTATTTAAGATCCAAGATAGTTTTTGTTATCTTAAATACGAAGGCAATAAAAATGTAGGTTAGTAGTCTCAGAAATGAATTCATCAAATAAAAATTTTTAAAGTCACCAAGTTGAAATCCTACACCTAACTGGACATCTAAAACCCCAATATTTATACGAATATCATTGCATTTTATTTATTTTTTTTTTTTTGAACCAAGTCTTTTTTATTTATTTATTTATTTTTTTAATAATAATTTTTATTTCTTAAGGTATTACAAATAGTATTACATATGTCTCCTTTTTCCCCCCCTTGACATTCCCCCGATCCCTACCCCCCGCCCCCCCTGCCCCGTGTCTTGTGTCCATTGGTTAATCTTATATGCATGCATATAAGTCCTTCAGTTGGTCTCTTAATCCCCCCCCCAACCCTCCCCAGGCTTCCCACTGTAGTTTAACATTCTGTTCAATGTTGCTCTGCTTCTGTATCTACCCCTGTTCATCAGTCCATACTGGTCCCCTTTATTTGTCCCAACCTCACTGGAGTAGTCTCAACCTCACCAGGGCCGTCTGAGCCTCACCAAGGCCGTTTCAACCTCAACGGGGCCGTCCCTACCTCACGGGGGCCGTTTCAACCTCACCGGGGCCGTCCCTACCACACCGGGGCCGTTTCGACCTGACTGGGGTCGTCCCTACCTCACGGGGGCTGTTTCAACCTCACCGGGGTCGTCCCTACCACACCGGGGCCGTTTCGACCTGACTGGGGTCGTCCCTACCTCACGGGGGCTGTTTCGACCTGACTGGGGTCGTTCCTACCACACCGGGGCCGTTTCAACCTGACCGGGGTTGTCCCTACCACACCGGGGCCGTTTCGACCTGACTGGGGTACCGGGGAAACAGGAAGTTTGGCCCTCTGTCCCCTGCCGGCGGCTCCCCACCAGACAAAATCTCCAGGCGTTCCTGGTGGTTGAACATCCAGCACTCCTGCCCTCCACCAAGTGCGCAGACTGCCTGTCTGCTGTCCCCCAGCGCCCCACAAGAGACTGGGACCAGTGGGCATGTTTGTGTGCTTGCTGGTACAGCAGTTCCACAGTGCCGGCCGAGTCAGGCCCAGCCCTGGCCGGCCCCGGACTCGACTCTGCCCCCTGATTGCGTCCCTCCCAGATGCAAGGAGCTGAAATCTGCAGCCTGCTGGGATGGGCTCTGTACTTGGTGCCTCTGCACATCCTACTCAGTCTCAATGCGCTTCTTTCTATGCGAGGAGTTGAAATCTGCAGTTTGTTGGGTTGGGCTCTGTACTTGGTGTCACATCCTACTCAGTCTCAATGTTCTTTCTCTCCTTCCAGTTGTAGAGCTTCCACTGGGCCAACTTTCCCATGGTTCTGTATGATAGGTGTTTGTCTGCTATTTGTTGTGTGAGGTAGCACGCACAGGTCTCTTCCTTATGCCGCCATCCTGGTTCTCCTGGGTCTGCTTCTTGAGTGTGTCTCCCATGGCTGTGAGCAGTTGAAGTCTGCAATTTGTTGGGATAGGCTGCAAAAGCGCAGGTGGGTCTTTTTGTGCACCTGGCACAGCTTGGATGGGGATGTAAATTGATTAGGGCTGAGACTCATGGAGTCGCCATAGCGGAGCAAATAGCACTGGCTCAGTCTCCGCGGCCCCTTGAATCTCTGCCAGGGCTTTGTGTCCCCCAGTGCCGGCGAGCAGCTGTGCAACAGAGTCTCCCTCGCTTTCTGATGGCTGCAAGGCCGTGCTGCCTCTCCCCGTAGGGTCTGGTGCCTCATGATCCCGCCTGAACCAGCTCAGTGGATTTGAAAATTTGCAGAAGCAAAGGCGTTTCTACTTGTGAGTCTGGCACAGCCCAGATGGGAATGTAAATTGCGTAGGGCGGGGTCACAGGGAGTCGCCGTGTGGAGACTCAGCGGCCCCTTGCCTATCCAGGACTCCAGGACTTTGCGTCCCCCAGTGCCGGCGAGCAGCCGAGCGCCAGAGCCTCCCTCGCTTTCTGACCGCTGGAAGGCCGTGCCATCTCTCGCCTTGGGGCCTGGGGCCTCAGAGACCCGCCCGAACCAGCTCGGTGGATTTGAGAGTTTGTAAAAGCAGAGTCATTCCCTCTTGTGCCTCTGGCACAGCCCTGAGGGTAGGGCGGGGTCACAGGGAGTCGCCAGCGTGGAGGAAATAGCGATGGCGGCGTCTCCGCGCCCCTCGCCTCCCCGGGACACCAGGACTTCTTGTCCCTCAGTGCCGGCGAGCAGCCGCGTGTCAGAGCTTCCCTCGCTCTCCGACCACTGCAAGGCCGTGGCCGCCTCTCCCTGTGGGATCTGGGGCCTCAGAGACCCGCCCCGAGCAAGCCCAGAGGATTCGAGGGTTCGTAAAAAACCGAGAATCCATTTGCAGCCCGCGTGGCGTGTGACTGCGTACCTCTGGTTTTGGTGCCTCCGTAGCTCCCACTCAGTCTCACTGCGCTTCTTTCTTTTCCTCCAGTTGTAGATCTCCCACTGGGCCAACTTCCCCATGGTTCTGAGTGGCGGTTGTTTACTTCATAGTTGATAGTTTCAGTGATGCTGTGAGAGAGCAGCACACACAGGTCCGCTCCCTACGCCGCCATCTTGGTTCTCCCATTGCATTTTAATGTGTTAATAAAATGATTTTGATTTCTATTTTGTCTCTCAAATCTTAAATGAAAAATGTTAAAACCCATCTGCCTAGCGCATTGATTTCTGAAATTAATTCTTTACTTCTTGGATTATTTTTTTATATAAAGTAGCAGTTGTTTTTATCATTTTGACTTTACATATTGTTGGTGTTTAATTTAATAGAAAGTATGTGGTATAATAGAGAAGAGATTTCTGTAAATTACTCCTTTAATTCAAAACACTGCTTATATACACTTAAGATAGCGACTGGAGCAGCTATAGAGACGTAGGCCCCCTATCTTTAACCTCTAGACTCGCAGAAGTTCTCAACCTGTGGGTCGCGACACCTTCACAGGGGTCACCTAAGACCATCGGAAAACACATATATAATTACATATTGTTTTTGTGATTAATCACTATGCTTTAATTATGTTCAATTTGTAACAATGAAATTGGGGTCATCACAACATGAGGAACTGTATTAAAGGGTCGCAGCATTAGGAAGGTTGAGAACCACTGCGAGGATCTGACACAAGGGTTTGCTCACCCTAAATGGAATAGGAGTGCAGCAATTAAAGAAGTACCCCAATATGTTCATGATTTTATTAGGACACTGTCAGGAAACAAACTCATTCAACATAGAACAATTTAAAAAAATGTCCTGGAGAATTGCTAGAAGGTAGAGAGATTTAGCACAAACACTGCATTGCCTGAACATCCAGGCCTTAGGAAGGCATGAACCAGGGGACGTCACCTCTAGGAAGGTGGCCATTCTTGCTAGTTCTCTGCCACTCATGGGACTTAACCCATCTATGTATGGTAGTTTCTTTCTGTTCTGCTCCCAAGTGACTTGGTCTCCAATGTCCCAGCAGCAGTATTTGATTGGCTCCCTGCCTATACTATTGATTGGTTGTTCCTGCTGCTTAGGTGCAAGCTGTTGCCTGGGGGGGGTGGGGGGGCAAGGTCTCCTGATATCCTGCTGGACTGCCTTGCATGGCAGGCTAGCTAGGAGAGGAAGTGGACCATAGTAGATGTTCAACATATATTGAGTAAGAGCTCCAAAAATAAACTCATAAAGAAAGCTATTCTGTTTGCTGTAATGTTAGTGGAAGACTTTGTGGAAGAGTAGGCATTTACATCACAGTATAGAAGCTGGGTTGGATTCACATGTCAAGAGCAAATAGATGAAGAAGGAGGAAGTCCTAGGTAGAGCAGCAGTTTGAGCCAAGTTGTACAGAGTTTTGCTTGACTCATGGGCCTATCAGTCTGGCTTAGAGATCCTCAGTGTAGTTGCCTTAAATTGCTTGAGCAGCCCGAGTCAATGACTGATTGAAGCAGAATCCTTGGGGTTTGTGTTTAGATCATTTGCAGTATTTTAGTTTCCCAGATAATTTTGATCCAAAGGTGTTTGAGCCCTGGATAGCTAGAGAGAAAACTACATTATGAATTTGTGAAATAGGGTTGGAAAAGAATATTAGAACAAGGCTGTGGTGGCTTCTATATCAGGGAAAGGATTTCTGGACTGCATCCTGTAAGTAAGGTGGAGCCATCAAGTTTTTGATTATATTGGTTTCCACCTTTTTCTGAGCCCAGTATAGTTGCATCTTTTTAAATTCCTTTCAGGGCAGTAGACAGAGCGGGGAAGGAAAGTTATGGGATCCAGGTGTGTGTGTCACAGTCCTTGGTACTTATTGAGGATGTTATTTATTCATTGTTTTTCCTCTGTAGGAGTAGGTATTCTAGCTCCAGATTTATTTTTCTAAGCAGAATATATCAAAGTTTTTGCAATAATTATTTATCCTTTCTTTAGGGGAGTTGGTTGCATCTTTGTTGAAATGATCCAAGGAGTCGCTGCTTTTCCAGGAATGAAAGACATTCAGGATCAACTTGAACGCATATTTCTGGTAAGTTCTTCATGGAATGCTTTTGAGAAAAATTGGTTTTTAATTCACCCCTTAGTGGTAGTGGAAAATAATTTTAAACAAATTTATTGGTTGTCACATGTAATTCTAATATATTTTTTGACTTTTGAAAAAGTAAGAAATTAGTTAATAATTATGTTTTTACACTACTGCATGTTAATACTATGTCAAAATGGTAAGAAAGGACAGGCCATCAGAGGCAATATAGAATCGGGGGTAAAAATGAGAGCTCTGATGAGAAATTGTGAATAATTTATATAGATAGCCCCCCCTTCTTAACTCCCTCCCATCTTCGCCCACTTAAATGTGGGCTTTGATCAGTAACTTTTTCCCATAAAGTGGAGCATAGAAAGAGAGGGAGGGGAGGAAAGGATAGTAACTTTGAAATGGAGAAACCAGGCAAACATATCTCAGCCAGGTCTTAAAGGTTGTCATCATCAAAGAGAAGTCATGTTGGTAACATGTACCCTTGGTACAATATGTTGAGAACAACACTTCACTTCTGTGATCTTTCTACATAATCATGACCACAGTAATCATGAAAAACAGATCATGCACACCCAGACTGAGGGACATTCTACACAATACCTGGCTAGTACTCTTCAAAATTGTCAAGGTCATCAAAAACAAGGACAGTCTGAGGAACTCTCACAGCCCAGAGGAGGCTACAAAGGCATGACAACTTAATGTGATGTGGTATCCCGGACGGAATCCTGGAACAGAAAAAGATCATTAGTGAAAAAACTAGTGGAATCCAAGGAGAGCATGCAGTTTAGTTAATACCAATGTGTATTTCTCAGTTATGACAAATGTTCCATCGTAATGTCAGATTTTAACCACAAAGCAAGCTGGCGAGGGGTCTACAGGAACTCTCTGTACTACTTTTTTGTAACTTTTATAAAACTATTCTAAAATTAAAAATATGCAAAAAATAAACATGAAATGTGTCCTAGAGCCATATGATCTGGGTTTAATCGCCTGCTCTCTTACCTTGGGCAAGGCACTTAGCTCTCTGAGCCTTCATTTTCCCCTGGGGGAAATGAAAGATAATGGTAACACCTACCTCATAAGTTTGAGGAATAATTGACTTAATACGCAGAAAGTGCTTTTAGAACTATGCCTGACACATAGTAAATACCCTGTTGATTTTCTGTCTGGAAGATCTATCCATTGATGTCAATGGGATGTTGAAGTCCCCACCTGTGACTGTATTGCTGCCCAACTCTCACTTTGTGTCCATCAGGAACTCTTTGTGCCCATCAGCAAATATATATTTGCTTTATATATTTGGGTACTTCCATGTTGGATGTATAAATGTTTACAAGGGTTATAGTCTCTTGTTGGATTGGTAGCTTTATCATTATGTAGTGTCCTTCTTTGACTTTTGCTATAGCCCAGCCGTGGGCAAACTACGGCCCGCGGGCCGGATCCAGCCCGTTTGAAATGAATAAAACTAAAAAAAAAAAAGACCGTACCCTTTTATGTAATGATGTTTACTTTGAATTTATATTAGTTCACACAAACACTCCATCCATGCTTTTGTTCCGGCCCTCCGGTCCAGTTTAAGAACCCATTGTGGCCCTCGAGTCAAAAAGTTTGCCCACCCCTGCTAAGCCTTTGTTTTGAAATCTATTTTATCTGATATTAGAGGCCAGATGCACGAAATTTGTGCAAGGGGCTCAGCCATTGCAGCCCCAGCTTCATCCAGAAGGTCGTCCAGACAGTCATTCTGCTGTTCAGTCCAACTAGCATATTAGCTCTTTATTATATAGGACTAGAGGCCTGGTGCACAGATTCGTGCATGGGTGGGGTCTGATTGGCCTGCCCTGATGGGGGCCCATCACAGGAGGGGCCGCAGGCAGTTGGCAGCTGGCCCTGCCCCCGATCAGCCTCCAACACCCTGATCAGGCTGATCGGGGCCCTGGATCAGGCTGGTTGACTGCTGCAGTGTGTGTCATAGCCACCGGTTGTTCCGGTCATTCTGGTCGTTCTGCCATTCTGGTCGCTGAGCTTTTATATATATAGATAAGTGTTGCTACCCGAGCTTCTTTTTTTTCTGTTTCCATTTTTATGAAATTATTTTTTTCTATCCCTTTACTTTCAGTCTGTGTGTCTTTTGATCTGAAGTGGGTCTCTTCTAAACAGCATATGCAGAATGGGGCAAAAATAGGCTGACAGTTGTTTGTATGGAAAACAATACAATAATAAACAATAATATCAGAATGAACTCTGCTTCGCATACTCACAACTTTAGATCTACTTTTGCCCAACCTATATATGATACTTGTTTTGTAGCCACTTCTTTTCAATTCTGCTTATTATTTATTATCCATAAATTCCCACACAAAATAATAAAGTATTGTTTTATGATTATAATAATAATGCATCTTTATGATGGAAGACTCCCACAGTATCAAAAAGTATAAAACTTGAAAAAAAATCACCCTTTGTTCTACTACCCAGAGAAAATCGCATTTAGTATTTTGATGTATATTCTCCATTTCTATACAGGTAAAGCAAATTGAATCATACCTTGTGTACTGTTTTGTAACTTTTTTTTACTTAACAGTATATAATCAACATCTTTCATTGAAAAATAAATCTAGAAACTTACCATTGTTAATGACAGGAGAGTGTTTATTGTATGGATGAGATATTATTTGCATAGTTTGTTTACAGTGATTAACTATTATGAAGTGCCGCCAGAAACATCCTTTGTACAGTTATCCTATTACTTAAAAATCATTAGAATTAAAAGTCCTTAATTCAATAAAATTTAATTTTCATATTCTTATACAGCCATCCTTTTATCTAAACTAATGGAACACTTCTTTCTCCCTGTTCCCAAGAAAATCTCTTGCTGATTTCATTGAGATTGTATTGAGCCTATGGATTATATTAGGAAGAAATGATATAAAATTGAGTTTTCCCAATCAAGAATAAATTATATTCTTTTATTCATAGTTTATGGCCCTTAGCAAAAATGTACAATTTTATGAACATTTTTTCTACTCCATTCTTTACTTTCATTCAATTATTTTAAATAACTTTTCTGTTATTTTCTAAAATATATAATAAACTTGTTCATATATTGTATCATTGAAAAATAATAGCAGAAGAGAGAATTTTAATAGGCTACAGTTTGCAAAACTGTAGTTATAGATTATTATTCAAAAACTGCTTTAAATATTTAGCTTTTTAAAATGCCTGGCCAGAGTGGCACAGGGTTGAGTGTCGACCCATGAACCAGGAGCTCACAGTTCGATTCCTAGTCAGGGCACATGCCTGGGTTGTGGGTTCAATTCTCAGGGACAGATAATCAATGATTCTCTTTCATTGATGTTTCTATCTCTCCTTCTCCTTCTCTCTGAAATTAATAAAAAAATATATATTTTAAAAATTTATTTTATTTTTTTCCATCATCATTTATCCCTCCTGTACCCTATCCCTCCTCCATCCCTCTCCCCCGACAATCACCACACTGTTGTCCCTGTCCATGACTTCTTTCTTTTTTTCCCATTGTTCCTCAATCCCTCCACATCCCCTTCTTTACCCCCACCTCCGAGAACTGTCAGCCTGCTCTCTATCTACTAGTCTATCTCTATTTTGCTTGTTAGTTCAGTTTGTTCATTAGACTCCACATATGAGAGAAAACAGATGGTATTTGTCTTTCTCTGACTGGCTTATTTCACTTAGCATAATGTTCTCCAGGTCTATCCAGATTGTCGCAGAGGGTAAAATTCCCTTCTTTTTTATGGCAGAGTAGCAGCATTCCATCATGTAAATGTACCTTAGCTGTTTTATCCACTCATCTACTGAGGGACACATCAAAGAAATATCTTCACGTATACATTATTTCAGAGTGAATTCAAAAGAAAAGGAAATGGTTATACTAGAAATGAGGTATATTCTATAGCAATAGAACAAAAAAAATGAGTTTCATGAAATCATAGTTCATTGATATAGCTTAAAGTTTTCATTATAAGTATCTTTTTATAATGTAAGTAATTTCCAATAGGTATTATCCTGTTGGATTGCTTCCTGTATGAAGATTTTGCTAGTATTTCTTAATTATGGCAATACTTTCCTAATTTTATGGGTATTCAGAGACCTTTGAGCTATGACTAGGCTTTTAATAAATCAAAGAGATAAATCATTATAAATTTCCCATGGCAATATTGATATCCTAAACTACCGTTTGCTCTTGTTAGAGCATAGAGACCCTTAAGTACAGATCAGCATCATGATTGATGGTAATAACTATCTTTTACTGTAATTATTATACATGCATAGTGCTTTTTACAAGTAAAATGTCTGTTGGTAATTAGGAGATAAATATCATCTAAAATTGATGCTTTAGAATTAAAATGTTATATTTTACTCTGAAGAATTAGACATGATCAAAAAAACTTCTTTTGACAGTAAATGTTATCATCTTAAATATTTTATTTCCCCCACTGAATTGTTAAAATTTGCAAACGCTAGCTATATGTCATGCTCTACAAGCAGACTCTCCCAGGAGTTGTGTAATCATCGGAAGAAGACAATCTACTAACCCAGTGTGGCTGAATCACTGGGAAAAAATGCTTTTCCTCGGTGACCTTTTATGTCTGGTCTGAAGAGGAATGGCTATTAAAGTGTAATTAAATCCACTTGCACAAGCTTCTCCCAGAAATTGCCAGACACCGTTTTTTTAAGCAGCAGTTGTGTCTCCGGGCTCTGGTAAAGTATTGCCAAGGAGATAGTCAATTTTGCAAAGTTGTGAAACATGGGATTATTTGTTTTGTTTTGTATTTCAATACAGGGATTAAGTCCGTTTATTCGCTTGTGAACTGTGTATAGAAAGGTGGTTCATAACTTTGAAGCACAAAATTAATAGCTTGTTACCAAGATAACTAATATCATTAACCCACACACACAGAGTCTTTATCACAAATGTGAAAACAATGAAGATCAGTCAGTAAAGCCTTTATATATTTTTA